CCCCCCCCCCTTGGGTTTGTGAGCCGCCCTGAGTCCCTCTGGGAATAGGGCAGCATATAAATAAAATAAACCTTCAAACCTTCATTTTCACATCCCAGCCAATTGACTTATATCACATATAGTCAAGTCTCACGCACAGGCTGGAGTCAAGAAAACAGGAAAATAGTTGGGGCATGACTCTTCCATGATTAAGACTACAAGAGGAAAGTTTCTCAAATTCATTGTTTTACACCAGTGTTTTTCAATCTCAGTAACCTAAAGTTGTGCTGACTTTTAACTCCCAGAATTGAAACTGAAATCCACATATTCTAAACACTAGCTGGGGAATTCTTGTGAAATCCAGACATCTTAAAAGTTACTGAGATTATAAAAGACTGGTCCTACACACAGCTTCTGGCATTTATACCCAGCATACCCAGAAGTTGGGGATTTGGAAACAAATGAACACCACATTAGGAATGCTAGCAAGGACTTTAGTATTCTTTCAGTCACTCCTTAGAAATGCAAGCCAACATTGAGCAGCCTCTCTAACTTCCTGTAGAATTGAGAAACGCTTCGCCACCCCACGTGGGGAGAGGAGGGGAAAAATGCTGGTTACTTGAATGAAAATCGGAATGCAAGACAGGAATGCATGCCCAGGATAGGAAACTCAACCAGCGTAGGGAAACATTGCGTAACGATTAAGAGCGTCCTACTCTCATCCCAGATCAAAGACACTGCTTACTTAATCGTCCCGGCTGGTCCACATTGCACCATTCGTCTTCAGCAGCAAAGGAACTTTCGGCTGAATTACGTGATTCAAGCCGGGCAGCCCCGGCTTCCACGCAAGACACAGATTTCTAGAATAGTAGCTTGTGGAACCGAAGGGGAAGAGTTGCTCACGTCCCAAGGGTGAGAAAATCTTCCCAGCTTTTGGACAAAAGGGAAGGACTTCAAGAGGTTTTGGGGTTGTTGGGGTTTTTAAAAAAACAAAACTTTGTTCCACTATTCCTGACTTCCCGTTCACCCCCACCCCACCCCCGTGTACATGAAGTACTCAGCCGCTTCAGTCTCAAGAACAACCCCCCCCCCGCCTCCGGAGAAGAGCGGGTGCGTGTTGAATTGTGCAGAACACTAGATATCCCTCCGCTTCCACCGTGCAACACTTCCAACAACACACACACACACAAAATATCGAGGGAAGGGCGAACTATTTTCAGGAAACTAGCTCGTACCAGACCCCGGGCGGTGGAAATCAATTGGCCGTTCAGGAAGGGAGCGGGGATTAGAGAATTGATTAGGATTGTCCTTCCCCGTTTCGTTTCTGGCCTCCGGGAAGCTAACCTCCCCCCCACACACACACACAGACACGAGAGAATTCTTGCAGGGTCGGCAGGAGGGCGACTCAAGAAGCTCCATTTCGCAAACTGATAATCCGAGATTGATCGCCGGTGCAGACTAGGATCCCACGGCTCCTTCTAAGCTCCCCCTTTTGGAAGTCGGCTCAGGGCCCGATCCGTGCGGGCCTACAAAGCCTCTAGCAAAGGTGGGGGGAGCGCCAGCTCCCTCTCTCCCCCTCCCTCTGCGCTTAGAGCAGTGCACTTACTCGAGACATGTCCACTACCCAGCTAAACGTGCTTGAGCTACAGTACTCAGCTTTTCCGGGCGGGAGGGGGCGCAGGACCCTATCCCTCCAAGGGGGTTGATTGTATGAGCTTGGAAAGTGGAAAGGAGCTCTATCCCCCATCCCCGCGTCGACGGCTCCCCTCTACCAAGTCCAGTGGATCAGCTGCGGACCGTGCCTGCGCGCTGCTCTTTGGCACTTTTTTCAGAGCGAGCGAAGCAGGCCGGAGCTGCTTCCCCCGCCCCCACCGCGGTCTGCAGCCGTGGGCTCGCGCCTCTCCCCGGACAGCGGGTTCCCCGTCGGCCCTTTGGCCAAGACCGAGATCTCCTTTGGCCTCCTGAGCCTTGGCGGCGGAAGGAGCTTAAAGTCAACGCTTCCGCCCAGTTCTCCCGAAGGAGGGGGCCAAGCCAGGCGCTGGGGAAAAGCGCCGCGGTTCCTTCTGGGGGTTGGGGCGCCCTTGCTAAAGTTGCTTTCCTTCAGCTCCGGAGAGGGGAAGAGAGAGTTCTGCTCGTTCGTCCGCTTGGCTTCTTCCTTCTCAACCACCAGCTGCTGGTGACGCATCCGCCCTCCCCTCGTCTCCGGGCTGCTTTAAAATACACCCTCCCCCACTTTTCACCCCCCACCTTCCCTCCTCCCTTCCTCCCTCCCTCTTCCTCTCGCTCCGGGCTGAATTAGTTCCTCTCCCAGTGTGGCGTCTGCTGGCTCCCAGAGCTCGTTTCTTCTCCTTTTTTTTCGCGCGCTCTGCGATTTGGGGCCGCCGGTTCCTGCTTAAGAGTCTGGAGGAATTTTTGTGACTCCCCTTTTCCTTTCTGGCAGCAAGAGGGAACGGCGGCGAAGGCCAGTGTGCGGATGAAGGACCTGCTGCAGTAGCGGGCAATGAGGGCTCCTGTCCGGGTGCAGCTGCAGCCCCACAAGGACATTGGTCGGGAGCTGCGCTGCAGCTGAGCGAAGGGCTCCGGCTCGTCACCCCCACCGCGATCGGCGACGGCCACCCTTTTCCAAGCGGGGAAAAAAGAAAGCAGAAGCTGCGATCGGTGCCGCTGACCCCCTCCCCTTCCCCGCAAAAGCCAGTCTGAGTCTCCGGAGGAGAAAGGCTGCTGTTTTACCCCACACATACACACACCCCACTCAAGGATTGAGGCCATTCTGGCGGAAGGGTGCGAAGGGGGGCTAGATCTGGGGTTTAACAATGGTGGGGCTTCTGGCGAGCTCCTGCTGCGCCCTGGCCGCGTCGGTGCTGCTCCATCCCGGTTTCGGATCTCGGTGAGGAAAAAATGAACGAAGAGACGGTGAATTCTAACCATGAGTAAGTTGCCTTTCATCTCTCCTGTGAATGGGTTGGTTAAGAGGACGGTCTCTTTCCCTGGTGGCCCCCGTTGCCCTGCAGCTTTTTTTTCTCTAGCCGAAATGCCTGTCTTTTGCCTACTTATCTATAGGAAATCTCGTTTTATTCGCTTCCTTTTGGAAAGTCACGGCAGTCTGGGATCTGGCGGGGGGAGGGGGGAGATGTTTATGCTTATCCCGGATTAGCAATGGCCTGTACTCCGCCTCCTGATTAATCTTTTTTTGTTTTTCATGTGTATGTTTTATATTTCGAGTAAAGTGTGGGAGCTTCTTCATCCTGTAGGAAACTGGCCCTGAATTTTAATTGGATGAGTCAGTCAGTATAAATATTGTTAAACCTTCCCCTGAAGCTTAATTTTATAATGAGCTGTTAAGACTTTTCCTCCATTAACTAAAAATTGGAAGAAAGAGCATGTTTAACGTATTTACAACAATCGATTTCTAATCGGAAGTAAGCCCCTTCTTTGAGTTCATTCCCAGATGAGCGGTTTTTAGTATTATGGCATTCGAGGGTCTGCAGAATAGCAATTTTCAAAACATTTCTTAAGAGAAAAGTGCCACATCTTTTATATATTAAAAAAAGGAAAGTACGCTAGCCTTGTCACAGATCCTGAACTTGCCCAATTCTTTTAGGCAATGAACAATGTTGACATTACCTATGACACCTACCTTTTTAAATAGTTACTGTTATTTTAAGGAATGGATATCATTTATTGGATATAATTCGAATTATGAAAAAGCATTCTTCCGGTAATGGTAATTCCCCCCCCCCCCCCAAAATTTTGGGGGGG